TGTTTCTCCAATTTTTCTCCAACATTCACCCAATATTGGCAGTATTACCCAAAATCTAGCCAACTTACCCAATATCAGTCCAGCATTGGGTCAATATCTGGTGCTACTGGGGTCAAGCCTGACCAAGAGAGATTCGGTGGTTTGGTCCCCTGTTGGGGAGCTGAACAATCACGTACGGAAATTCAATCTCAGTCAAAGCCTCCTTAAATCGCCTGAATGTCACACCGTATGTTGGCATTTGACGTTGGGACAATGTGTGGCCGCGGGACAAGCCTACGTTGGCCCAACGTTGGAAACCAATGTTGGGCCCACATCGCCAATGTTGAATTACAACATAGGCCTAACGTTGGCCCCACGTGTATGTGCTGCTGAGGTAGTAACTCAACTTGAACCTGCGACCTCGCAGCACCCTAAGCATCTGTGCAAAAGGAATGGTCGAAAATTCACACTGTAACCCGTTAACAGTTTTTTTTCCCCATTGATTTGAACGGAAATGATAATATTAAATGTAGATTTTGTTTATATAGATTTTGAACAAAATCTATATGTGTAACGTTTTATTCATTCAATTCCGGCAAGTCAAGAACGAAACAACGAAACACAAGTCGCCCGTATCTCGTGTTGACAAGTCAGTTTTTAGGACAACATCACCCGCATCAGAGAAGAGCAAATCGCGAAAGTCGTTAAAATAATGTGGACGTGGCTCGTGGCCATTTCCCCATTTCGAGTCTCTTGCAGGTTTCGCTAAAATTAGGCGAAAATTTATTGGTCGAAAAGGAAAATGTCGAAAGGGAAAATTGTCGAAACCAACTTTTTCAAGTCATGGAATCCACGAGGTACAAACACTCAAGTCGACCATTTAGAAGTTTAGATTGCGCGCGATGGCTCACAGATACTCCATGGCATGTGATTGTTGCAATCATCACATATTACTTTTAGTCGTGCATCGCGGGTGACATCTTGCATCCTCCGTTTTTTTGAAGGGTGGCCCATTTCTCGCCTGGCAATCTCCCGTTCCACAGATGCTTGCTCCTTTTGTAATGCTTCAAGGAGGTGAAACACATTAGGATGGCACTTTCCGAGATTGGAATTTAAACGGTGATGCCACCCTTCAAGGTCATTAGTTGTCCGAGGCTCGCAGGAATTGATGCGATCAAGCACATTCCACATGATCGGCGGAAATGCTGCACACCGCGGTGTCCCACGTGCCCGGCATCCGTCAGCGTATAAGTCCCTGAAAAAGGCAGCCACCGGCGCGACTTCCGGATGCATGGTGGGAAGAAGTTCTTCAAACAGATGGGGAACATCCAAAACTGGGACGAATGCCAATGACACCACCCCCGTATTGACAAGGAGAACGATTCATCTGAGGAGTATGCCGCGCTAATCCTTCCTCTTGAACAGATTCTGACTGAAATGGAAAAAGCATCCATTGTGTTCTACTGATGGCAAGACTTCCTGGACTGCTGACGTCATGCCACTCTCAAAGTCTGTCACGATATGTCTGAGGGAAACAGGAAGATTATTCTCTTCTAAATAATCCATGGCTGTAGTGAGCATGGCTTAGTAGGAATTAACACACTTATCACTCATCAATCCATACAAAAGGGAAACCGGGATACGTGGACTTCTGCATGGAGTGTGTACTGCTGCGCTAATGATTTATTCTTGACACGAGGGGCAGCAGTGAAGGTTCCATCTGAATACCATCTGGTAGCACGAGATAGATGCTCCATATTCTCATTAGTCGGGAAAGCAACATCCAGGGACTGGTCTCATCACCCAGCAACGAACTATCATCGTCCAAGGTCATCTTGTAAGATGGTGGTAGAACAAGATGATACAAGACATCTATCAGAGCCGGTATATCCTTACGCCGCTGTATTTGCACTGTACGCCTCAGGGAATTAGTACAAGGAAGATTTTACAAGGAAGGATTACAAGGAAGCGTTTGGACTCCCGTGCGACCTGTCCGACAGAAATATCTGACCTGTATTTCTTACTGAATGTCTAACGATATGTCCTAGGCATGCATGTCAGTGTAAAATTACATCACTTCAGATGATATAACGGCTGCAGTGGCTTCATTCGTTTCGGTTTTTTTCCTCTTCAGTGAACCTTGAAAGTTCTTCTTCGGAACAGCTGAAGCTACAGGAGCATGGTTAGTATGAACTTCTGCAGGTTGTTTTACTAGATATTCACCCTCAGTCACTGCTCTTGCATTGCAGTGGCGGTTCTGGCATCTCCAATAAGTCTTCTTGCCAGAATGCTTGTCTTTGGAGAACATATAATCATGTAGAACTAGTAGCCTTCTGGGAAACACTGAAACGGTTCGCTACTCTCTGCCAGGCCTTGCACACTCACACGCCTGGCCACACCGCATGGAATGGGAACCAGAACTCAACATGGTCTCAGTCTCGAACACTATCTCTCCATCAATAGGAACTGGAGAACAAGCTGAAAGATACCGAGTCAGCCTCAGGTCATGACTTGGTCGACTAGTTGGGTTCTTCATTTTCGTGTGAATTCCAAGATTTCGACATTCTTAGAGTCTTTGAAAACTTTTCGCGTTTGCCTTCTTCGATATTCGGCGAATGTCACATTGGACTTTTGTTTTCGGAGACATTCTGTCCTGGCGACGATTTTCCTTTGGGACATTTTTGCTTTTCGACCTTATCTATTTCTACTTTTTTTTTAGAATCTCTTTTGCATGCTACCAAGCGATTTAGTGATATTTGCATCGAGCTCACACTTTCTAAGTCTTCCAGCAGTGCGTCCGTCCCTGGATCTCCAGACATGCAAAGAGAAAACCTGCGCGTCTTGTCATACGGAAATAACTGTATTTTCAAGCACTAGGTCACCTTTCTCTGAATGAGAGTATTCTCCTTCTACCATGCACATCATTTGTCCCATATCCCTTTTGTCACATGTCAACATTTCGCATTCATGGGATATGTTGACATGAAAAAGTTTAGGATTTCGCCGCTGTTGCTTTTAACATACAATTCTCCATGTAGTAAATCATAAACTAGACAATCTGCTGGGAGAAACGAAGAATTTGTACTCAAATGAGGCAGTGTGGAAGAGATTGCATCAATAGGACAAGAACTTTCCAGTGGAGTGCGATGTTGAAGATCATCGAGAACTAATTGTATCGTAGGTGGCTCTGATCTGATTTAGTATTGGTGCGTTTATACAAGTTATGTCGGGAAATCTCTCGCAGATGGGTGATTGCCGTACTTATACTTCTATCAGAAAATGATTTGGCAGGTGGGTAATGCAACACGATTGTAGTCAGATGGATTAATGGGCCTCGTTTGTTCTGAGACTACGGATGACTACAGACTTGTGAGATTACAGGGACTGTCCAAAAGATACAGATCTTCCTCCAATGTTGTGAACTCTAAACGACGTCTCGCTTTCCTCCTCCAATGTTTTCGCACTTCGGGGTCTCGAGGGAACCAAGCGTCCTGTCCTCGCCCAGTTCCAGCGCTGTACCGAGAATATTTGGTACCCTGTGCTACATATCAACCCAGCGACCCCCCCTCCCCCTCTATACTTCTCCAGCTTCCCCAATACCAACAATACATTAAGTAACAATTCCTAAGTTTAATTTTGCTTAATTCAGATAAGTTGCAAGATTTTTACATAAGTTTCATTCATATTTTGGAGCGGCAGACAATCGGCGCCCTGTGCGGGCACACCGCTGGCGGCCCCGTCGGTACGGCTCTGCCTTTCACTCCCCAGGCTCTCCATTATCTTCTTTCCTGCCGTTCCTGCCACATATGATCCTTACACAAATCCCCTCTTCCGTCCGCGCGTTCCCTTGCAGTCTCTTCATTCCGTCTTTCGTTTCCATTTCCTTATGAATTAGACTGGGTATGTTGAGAATATTCTAAAAGCGATGGGCTTTTTGGGTTTCCTTTTCGAAAAATAGGTCATTTTTGCTGAAAATGGAGCAGTGCAAAAACGATAACCTTATGCGAACCATATTTTCACCTAATCTCGACAAAGCATTCCTTTTCGGTTGTTTTATAAGGGTATAAGGTTGTGCACTTTACAGTCAAATGTTAAGAGAAGAAAGAGGTACCTAGGGGGAGATTTGGAAGGTTCAGTTCAAATTCTATTAATTTCGATTAATCATTATTATCGTGATTATAAATGTAATTGATTACTTGGATGATGAAACTAATCAATTGACAGCCCTAGAATAAAGTGATCTCTTACCTTTTAAAAAAAAAAATTTTTTCTAATTAGATGTACACAACGGTTAGAAGAACATCCTCTCACCGGGGTAATTCATATGAGTAAACGTAGAAACATAAGAAAATTTATTATTCTTAAAGTTTCATTTGAAGTTGCTCATTTTCCTTTATGAAAAAAAATTCAAAACGTGACTTGACTTCAACTAACTGACTAATTCTTCTTATCAGCCCTCTGGAGCACACAATCATCTTGAACCTATGTTTGATAATATAACGTATTTTCAACAGAACATTATACTATGGAGAACAATGTATTTCAACATGAATACTCATCTAATGACAGTATTGATAGAAATATTGCAGTCGATTAACAGATTCACATTCACTGACGAAAATTTCTGCTTGAAATGTGCATTTTCCTCGATTACGAGGAACACGTTTCTTGCTGCCAATGGGCTTTTATAGTAGAAAATGCATCATGGAGGCGGGGGGGGGGCGAACATTCATTTCATAATGGAAATTCAGAATTGTGGGGCGCCCTTCTTGCCTAAATGGAAAAATTAGTGCAGAATTTGTATTGTCTCGTTTCAAGTGATTACGATGAATTTGATGATTGTTGATGAATTGATAAATGCATTTTCCAGTAACCCCTCACCCTGTGAGGGGTTACCGCTCGCACACACCCTATTACGGCACTGACAGTATCAAAGAGTTCCCCCGCCTCCCCCCACTTTGTCATGTGCTTCCCCCCCCCCCACTTTTTCCATCCATGCTACACTTATGGAATAAGGTGAAATGCGTGAGTCCCAAAAAATCCTTCCTTCCCTCGCCAATACTCCTGCCATCCTTGCGGTCATCCTTCTGTGCATGGGAATTTTCATCCGAAAATGAAGGCGAAGAGACTTCAGGCGGGAGGAGGTTCTACCTGCTCGGATGGTGCCTCCGAGTCTGCGTGACCCTCGTCTCTCTCGTCCTCGCCCTCGTCCAGGTCCTCTTATCCAAGTTTTCAATCACGAATCTCCCGATTTGCCCCACAAAATGAATTTCACCATACGTTCGGAATAAGTTTTTATTTCCACGCGCTAATCACGCTTCCTTCTAGGAACTGAGTTCGATGTTTCTGTTTGGCATTGTTCCTGCGTCCGATGAAGTCAAGTGAAATATTCCATCAGAGAATGAGTTCTCAACACACAAATGTGCCAACTGTGTCGTTCATCTGCCTCCAGGTCGCACAAATACTGGAGCGGCACCTTTTGGGTCCGACCAACACGTTGCTGACGATAAGGGACGAGTCCTCCACGCTGCCTCAGTTGATCGCCGACTGCCCATCCCCGGCTACAACCGCGGCCGCCTCGCCGACGCGGGTATTCACGTCGAGGACCTCACCTGGGATAATTCCTGGAAACTCCTGGAAACGTGGAACTTGTCGCTCTTGGATTTACACGACAAGGCGTCCTTGGACATGCTAAGCCTCCTACGGGAATTTTCAGTTCGCACTGTAGGGACCGGAGGGGAGACCATTAATTGCCGACCGGTTAATTGGACCGTCAATGGGTTTAGCGGTTTCTATCTGAGTGAATGTAAAAATTCAGACATTGAAAGTTAATGCACCGAAGTACAAATTTCAAAGGGAGATGTTTTCAAATAATTTTTTTGCATCAGTTATATTGATGAACATGGAAAGTTGAAACTTTGTATGAATTTGTGGTTCTCTGCGAATCGAAATATATGTACTTTTCGGTTAAAACGTATGAGCACATATATTGCAAAGGGCGTATTTTCTTGATCCAGCAAAACAGAGGGCACTAGAAAGTATAAACTTGGCATAGAATAACCTGATGGATAGCTGAGTAAAGAAAATATTCTACTTTTCTAATAAATATAGACGATCGTGACTGCCTGACTGACTGACGATTATTCTAACTAGGTTCTATAAGGGTTAGAAATCTGAAATTTGGTACCCATGTACCTTTTAGGATGCAGAGTTCAGAAAATATCCGACTTTGGAGGTACATGCCCTGGGGGTACAAATTTTGGGGGAAACGTTTTTCTTAAATATATTTTGTGACAGATGAGGATGGCATTCAGAGAGCCAACTGGAAGTGTTGGTTTCGGTGGTGTAGTAGTAGCATATCTGACTGGCAATCAGAAAGTCCGGGTTCAATTACAGGCCATTCCTGGGTTTTCTTTCGTTTTTTTTTTTGCCTTCCATGTCCCGTTACTCATTCCCCCTCCATAACATTATTTTTCCTTGAGTAAAACGGATAGTAGGAAGAATTCACTAGTCGAAGTTTACATCCACGAACAAGCGGACAAATTTTTAGCAATTTGTGCCTAATGGCGATCGAAAACGCATTCGTATTCAAAAACACCAATGCCAATCTCTTTATTCGTTCAGACTACGCCAGGAAACTGAAGAAGCGGAGAAGGCCCTGCACCATGGATAAAGGCCATAGCTACGTCAGGGTGAGCGAAAGCAAGCAGACGATGAGATGTGTTAAAAGATGCGTTGGGTATCCTGAAGGAACTTCTTTATATCGGCGTTGAAGGAGCTTCTCTATATCTATATATAGTGCATGGAGAACTGCTTCTTGGGATGGGTCCAGTCCCGTCCAAAAACTGGCGTGTCTCAACCCCATCCTGATCACCAAAGAGGTCAACCTGACGAAGCCTGTATGTTTAGATCCCGACAGTAGCAAGGTCATGCTCGAGGAACTGGAGAAAACCAGAAAATATTTCATTGATCCTGAATCCGAGATAGGAAAGAATTGCAGTTCTCCAAAGAGGTGTCACAGGTCCATCTATTACATCTTCCCCGATCCAAACTCGAACGGTTTCAAGGGGTTTGAGTTTTCTCATAATACTGAGTCTGCCACTCTCTTCTTCAACTTTCCCTCGCGTCGGGTTCGTCCCATCTTCCTTTCCCTCATTAACCCCTAATTTCTCCTTTTCAGGGGAACAAACGAGCTCGAATCGATTCCTATGTATCCTGATAGGTGTCTACCTTCGTGGAACAGGAAAAGACGACCATCCTAGAGCTCCTCTCCGACACTTGAGAGTCGTTGGAATCTGTCTCGGCGTTTCCATCGTCAACATCTTCGACTTGGTCGACGGGGCTTGTTCCCGCATCCGCTGCAAATTGCTTTCTTGCAGAAAGAAGATCATCCAAGGCTCCAATCACTAATCCAATCGTCGCGACTCTCTCTGTAGGCGTGCCATTGTATCTCACCTCTTGGAGAAGACGAGACGCCATTGAATGATGATCATTTGTTTCCTTCCACTTAATGCCCCATTTTCAGCACCGTCCATCTCGCAATGCCATGTCTCATGTCATGAGCATTTGTATTCCTCGGACGAAATGGTTCACGGACTCGAAATCGATGACATGAAATGGAGTTGATATATTTCTCAGCGTGAGACACCTAGTGGGCAAGAAACATGTAACACAAATATGGATTTTGGGAGCTCGAACTCCTTGCAAGTATTTTAAACTAGATGTAGGGTATTATGTGTAACTAGCGTAGGTACACGTAAATTACCATATCCACTTGCTGGTACTTGAAAATGTTTTCACTAGAACGCTTTCCATCTTTCGTTGAACTCATCGCCATGGTTTTCTTGACAATTTTCTGCATCTCAACGGGGGAAATGATAATTTCTAATGAACAAATTGTAAGTTGAGTTTAAAGGTTTTTCATGCAGAAATTTATTTGGTGTTGCTTCTAGGGGATACTTGGACGTGTTTCAAGGTACGATAAGGGCATAGGTACTTTAAGGGCAATTTAAATGTTTATACCCTAAGGCATTAAGAATGATTGTAGAATGCTGAAATTTCGCTCGCACATCCTTCCATCCGTCCTGGTAATATCAAGGGTTCGCAATCGGAATGAAGTGCCTGTGTAAATAATAACTAGCGAGTTTGTTTACACGAAGGGCAAGCAGATTCGCAATGGTCGCGGCTCCAGCGTTCCATTGTCACACATAGTGATTCATTCATTAAGTTATTTTCAAGGTGGCAAAAACGCATTGAAAGTATTTGCTTCTCGAAATGTGTATCGAGAAGAACAAGCCGATATTTTTTTTATCGAAATAATTACTCTGATCGTTTCTTGTGTGCATAATTCCAATTCTCTTCATAATCTCCCAGGCGGATCATATTTGAAAAGTAGGATCGCATTCAGCAATCAAACAGGTACTTCTGAACCACTTTACACATATCTTTAATTTCCTCTTTCATTGGATCAGTACGGATTCCGGAAAATGCTCCTTTTGCAAAAAAATTAGGGTCCTGAGGGATTTTACAAAAAAAAACATAACATTCTTTTTTTATTTAAGAAATCAGTACTTTGAGAACCAGATACATACCATGTTTCAGCTTTATCCATTTGCTCTTTTTGCTGGTGCACAAATATATTCGGACAGGCCGGTGCAGCCAAAAGCCGTGCCCTGAGGGTATGCACCACAAAGCTTGAATTTTTTCTGAATCTCCTCAGTTATTGGTGTGCCGAGTTTCATCTTTCTAATTTTGCCGAATTCCGTAGGACAAATAAACATTTTTTGAAACGTGGCCGAAACGTTTGCAAAAGCCAAAAAGGCAAGAACCAAAAGAAAAAATTGAAACAAAAATGTGGAGGCACCTCATCCAATAGATACTTCCTCCCCTTATTTTTTAAATTTGATTTTGCCCGCTCAGTGAATTTCTCTGTTTTCTTCAGGAAAGTGTTGTGATCGGTTTTATCTTCCGCATCACTATAATATAGATAAGAATTTACGAATTTTTGAATTTTTTTGTGATAGCAACCTCACCGTTACACGTGTACCACACCGAAATGGACTATTCCCAGTACTAATTGACTTTTTATGCCCTAATACAAGTTCCTGTCATGAACCTGTCAACCTGTCAAGTAAAGAAGTGATATTTTGTATGGGATATGTTTTGCGGACCTAAACGCTTACTCATAGCTTATTCTTCAACGCTTAAGATGCCTTCGATGTCCATTACCACAGAATGATTTTAATCCATGAGGTCTAAAATACTGGTTTGTTCCATCAGAACACAGGTTTCAAATAACTTTCTTGAAAAACTTATTTTCATTATTATTCCTGAGGCTCTATGCTTTTCAAGCGAAAAACTGCATAGTTTCATGAGTTCCTCCCGTTTTAGTCTGTTTATAGTGCGAAAGGCATAATCGTCTTGCCTGACTTCAGAGGAAGATGTGGTCGCAAGAGCACGAAGAAAAATCATAGTTACCATGCATTGAACTACGCAGAACCTTGGGTTCGAGCCCACTACCCTGCGATTAAGAATCCCTATCATGTTCCCAATCCAAGGACAGGTGTCTCACTTCGCAGAACAGCTTAAGTTGACCGTACTCGATCTTCTGTCCAAAATCGAAGGAATCGTCGGCATCTTAATTGGAGTCTCGCACCTTCTTGCACATCATCGACCTGGTTTGCTCGAGCATGCGTTGCTCGTTTTTCTGAAGGAGAAGCGAGGCCATCCGTGACAATTTTTTTAACAAAAAATGGGCCTGAGAAGTCCCCTCTGAAGAATAAAAAATGGACTCAATTGCGGAAATCCGCACAAGAAAAACTGAAATGCAAATCAGCGAAGGGCTGCATCCCTTCATTCGTGCTCAAATTCCCGTTCATTTTTCTCATAATATCGCCTGCTGTAGTCATTTTTCCCTTCCCGCTCAAGGACCATCATCCTCTATGTTTCCGGGTGAGCCTTGGCGCACTGATCACCGGCAGGGCGTTATTGCTTTGCTCGAAAAATTACAGGGACGCGACAGTGAATACGTCTGAAGAAAATGATGGACGCGAACCTCCCGAAGTAATCCATGAGTACTTTCGCTTTCCCACCTCCCACCCGAGGTTCAACTCGCTGCGGAAAACGTGAGAGCGAGACAAGAAATAGGCTCAAGCGCCAGAATTCCATCCAACCATCTCCATAATGATGCAATCTGAGCCCATCTCTCTGACCCGATTATTTTCATAATAAACATGCTTCCCCAGGTGGGCCTTTTCAACGTGAGTTTCTAAAACATTCACTTCTCAGACTACAGTAAATTATACCTACATATCGCAACCTTTGTGTTCAGAAAGGAGTCAAGGGAAAATGTGAATCTTTCAAGTGAAGAAGAAAACATTTCTGGCACATCAGACATTGCATGAAACTGAACGGCAAGACCCAACCGGCTCATCGCACTTTCTCGTACGCATTCTGGATTTAATGATGTGGGTAGCATATCTTCATCAGGATATCTATGTTCATTTTCCTTCGAATGATGCAAAACTTGACTAGTAGACAGAGCGGATGAGAATGGCAAATGTTTGCGGAATCCAATTCTCTTTCATCGCTGGACACCGCATGCCTTCATTCACTTTTCAAAATATTTAATTTTAGTGTGTGGCTTCAGAAAGCCTGATGCATAGAGGAGGGACACAAAATAACGAACAGTTTTATGTGTACAATGGGCCACGCACTGTGAGCTGTGGGGAGATTATCGATATAGGATTATCAGTGAATTAGTTCCTTCCATTATTTTAATGATCTGGAACATAATTTCATCAAACATTATGCACGAATGCGCTCGGTCGAAACGGCGGAAGGGAAGCGAAGACGAGTGCAAACAACAGGAAAATTGGCCGTCAAGGAGCTAACGTGTTATCGACATTTTGACTGAGCTGAGGAGTCGAAGTCGTCGGGGGTGAGGCTTTATGGACTTTGCGGCTGCATTTTCCTCGTTAATTTCTTCTACGTAATATAAGTCGCCATAATCAATTCGAATTGAGTTTTGTGTCCTTAGCCGGCCGGTCCTTAGCGTGGCCAAAGTTTTCGGCCTCGTTCCTCTCTCTCTTCGAGGCCCTGTGTTCCCCTGAATGTTATATGGTTCGTCTATTGCATCCTCATCTTTTGCGTCTGCTCGTGGGCTCTGTCCTTAATAACTTTTCCTCTTCTCTCAAATGACTTAAGGTAGCGAATGGGAGACCTGATGGTCTATGATATATCAATCAGTGTCGTAGGAAGTCAATTCGCGACATTCATCATGACGATATCGAGTTTCCTCCTTACGATAAAGTACCGTACATTTCGTCTTCTTTTACAAAGCGGAGAAATGGACTTTAATGAAGAAGAATTTCGAATGATTCGCTTTCGGGTTTTCTTTGTCGCCATTGCGCAAGGAATTTTTTGGCTCATATTGATCATCTTGGCCTTTGCTATATCTTGGTCCATGGTGACTTCGATCCCGATGGAGTTTGCCTTTTTACTCGCTTATTTGTTGCCCTCTCTTGAGGAAACGTTGTTCTCATCTATCATGGTTGGGATCGGAGTGAGCTTCGAGTGCCTGAATCGACGTGCGAAAACATTCGTCCATGAAGACGATGGGAAAACACAAGGTATTCGAGGAGAGGGGCGAGAAGTTGTGAAATCAAGCAATTCTGATAGGAGGATCTCATCCACTGAAGGCAACTCGGACAGAATATGTCATTCAGGTGGAAGAATCACAACCGTTTCACAGGAAGGAGAGCAGATCCGCCATCCTCGCTGGAGGATGTCTGCTTCAACGAACGCCATCAATCCAGTCGATGGAAGAACGATTGCTTCGCCGAATGCCGTTAATACGGTCGATGGGGTCGAATTCATCCAGACCTTGAGATGCCGTTATACCCGCTTGTGTCATCTTCTCGACCTCTCCTCTAGCCTCTTCTCGGAAATTCTGCTCTTGAAGGCTCTCACGACCTTTGCGACAGCTCTCTTTATGGCCTTCATCATCATAGCTCCCGTCATGACATCCTCGCCGGTGGCATTTCCATTTCTTGGGTACATACCTGGGATCATCCTGTCTGCGACGAAACTTCTGTCAACCTGTCTAGTCTGCCGAAACGTCAAAAACAACGTAGGTTGTACACGGCAATCAATGCCAGTCGGTGGATGAAATGTCGACATCATTGATTATCTGATTCAGAGATGGGAAATGTCAACGATCCTTTCATGGGCGGCTGGGAAAACCATCGTCGACTCCTCTTTCTTGAAGCAGGTGTGTTTCCTTCATAGTTTTAACATTTTTCAGAGTCGGATTTAGTCAAGATGAAACATGAAAATTGTGTGTAGCACCAAAAGCAAATTCAGCAGTTTTCATTACATTCAAAGCAGTTCAAGTTATGCTCTTCTTCAGAAGCTCTGATGGTGAAATACATGTTTATCGTAACGTCATTTGGATGAAAGCAAACTGAGCGTGATCCAACTGCAGATTTAATGATGAAAGTGGAATTGGTGATAAATTCAACACATTTTCCGCATTGAGCACACAACCCTTGAACAATTCATATTAAAAGGAGCAGGTTAACGCATGATGTTGTTTAATTCTTCTGTAACGGGAATTAATTTTGGGCCACTGATGGAATCAAAAATGTGTCATGCTCATTGACTAAATTTGAATTACTCTTACTCTATTCATATCATGCACTCAAAGATTCATTAGATGCCCGTCAAAGATGCCCCTGATTCTCATCAGTCGGTGTGGATGAGACTTTGAAGTGATTTGAAGGGGCCCACAAACTACGTAACAAAAAGGTTCCAGGATAAAAAATGGAAGTCCTACTTACCTATTCCTGATTGGCTGTGCCCCACCCTTCTTCAGGGCATGCGAACTCCTAACCTGTAGAAATTAACTGCGTTAATTTCATCATCATTTCGGGAATAGGGAGCCACATTGAGAAATTTTCATTCGTGCGAGAGTCCCCAAAATCCCTAAAATGTACAATGATTTTGAAGAATCTTGATCTTCAAAAAACTAACCCCTTGTCCATGGGACAAAGTAGATGAATATGAAATAGTTCCTGGTGAACAAGGCTTTCGTGGATGAATTGAAGCCATTCTCTTTACGAGACACTATGGAATTAACGAGAAACAATTTCAAGAAATTTCTTACTGTTACGTACAGCATACTCACATGCTTTTTAGATCAACATGTTTGAAAGGGAAATTTCCCGGAGTTGGAAACCAGTGACTGCCTGCGGCCTGTTCGAGGTGGATCTCCCGCTTCTTTCTGCTGTGAGTCAAAATCGATGTTTAAAAACATAAGAAATGGATGTGGAGAATCTCCCATCTCTGGTGGGTTTTTTTTTGCAGACGTTGGTGAACCTGTCCACCTTCTTCGTCGCACTGCTCCAGTTCCACCTCTCCTTAGTCCCCCAATCCGGAGGCCCTTCACCTCATTAGTGATTCGTGTGTGTATTGAATGTTAGTGATGGGTTTTGAGAGCTCTGGCAGTTGAGGGAATGTTTGATTCGGAAGCTTGAGTTTCTTGGAAATTCGTCTTTTTCGGACCCGTTTGTGTTTCGAGGCTATACAACCTGAAATCCGAATTAATATACTTTGGTTGTGCATATCCGTTCGTGAGAAAATGACGCCGCTGAGCTTTATGGAAGAGATCTCTTCCCGCAAGGACACAATAGGGCAAACGTTGCAATGCGTTGAAACTTCCAAAGCCCAAGGAATGTCATTGAACAAGGTTACATTTAATAACCCTCACCGAGGTACATAAAGCAACCCCCACCCAAAACTTCCCAAAACTACGAATTCCGACCGCAAGTTGGCACGAGTAAATCAGACAACGCCATTCCTAATGGTCGAAGACCAAGGCCTTTCCTGATGGAAGCCTCCTTTCTTCTCGTAAAGCCTTTCCTGTAGGGATGAAAAGAGCGAAAGGGATAGGGAGAATGAGAGAGAAAGATACAGACGGAAAGTTTCGCGTGCAAAATACATTGTATACTGCTCACTACGAAACCTAAAGGGAAAGAAGCTGATTTGAGATTAATCGAGTTCTGATGCGAGAGCAATTTCTACAAGAGTCCATACGAAGACTCAGTTTATACCATACTGTCACTTGACCGGCAATGGTTCCAGTTGAAATGTCTCCTAGTGGGCAGGAAAGTTTGTCACGCCCGAAACATGTCTCATTCCATAGCCATACGAACTTCAGAAAATTGCGTCACACATGCACGTCATAATTCATTCATGCCTCAGCCATCCTGACATGACGAGATGACACTCAGCGTGAAGGCATCTCATATGATAGCATGAATGCATTCGTCTGACCCATCGTGTTGGATATCGAATATTGATTGTAGTAACGCCTTGAGGGGTTGTACCTTAGGGCGTTTCTGACCTTCGACTCGATTGAAATCCTGCCTCCAAGTGGACGGTCTGCCTCAACTGACACCTGTGAATAGATTCAGTCCTTTCATCCGAGTGAGGAATGCTCGATGATATCTTCCCAAATCATTTTAGATCTACATATTCCTTATTTCATCTGATTTTGACTTGATTTAATTTCTTTGAAAGAATAGCTGCTAAAGCTTCTGTCCTCGAGCTTTTATTCCTTCAGAACGAGGTATACCGCATGATATATTTCACTCCATCGAGTCTTTCAACGGCGAAGGAACTATTTTAGTCCTATATGGATCTGCTGACTGCTAAAAATCGGAAGATGCTTCAATCGCTTCAGAGGTTCCATTCATTCCGTTGGGCCCAAAAGACAGAATCTCCATCACTCGTTCACGAACGATGGAGTTCTCGTCTTCTCGGACCCATGAAATGCATGTTGGGCACCATCCTACTAATTCAGGGATATCCAGGTGAAATATCTCCATAATATCTCCACACGTTTCCGGTCGTTTTCACCAGATTTGTAGTTATGATATAATCTTAGTATAATAATCTTAGACTATCCTTATCATTATTCATAATTCATTAATATAATTACATATCATCATTTATAGGTTATTAAACAATGGCCTTTGTGGTTATGTTTAGAGTAGGTAAACCTTGATGAAAATGAAAATTGATCAATTTCATCAGAATGTGTTCATTTCAGGAAATTTGACGAGATGTCAGTTTCTGAAACAATCCTCCGAAGGCAGTGGCCGATTTTCCTGGAATATCTCGATGTCGATGCGATTTCCCCGATTCTCATCTCCAAATACGTCCTCCCGGTGGACTGGATGGACAACGGGGAGAAGCCGCTGAGGGCGCGCGAGAAGAGGGAGGCGATCCTCAGGATCGTCCGCGCGAAGGGTCGGACCGGGTTCCAAGCCTTCAAGAAGGCCCTGGCGCAAGTCGGACAGTCGCATCTCGTGTCGTCGCACGCCTTGGACGCGTTGCCGAACCAAAAGGCGTGCCTTCCCTTTGAGGATGATGATGCTGGCGTGGCAGCCTTCATGAAAGGTGCAGAGTTCTTGAGTGGATGTCATCCTCTTTTTTTAAATTTAATTTAATTTCTATTTTTAATTTTATAATCTGGACATTCCTTGAAAGTAAGAGGTTCCGAAATCTTTGGGGAAGGTGTCTACCTCTCCAAAAAATCTTAGGTAGATAGAATTTACAATCGAATCGTTCATGATGAAGAAACGTTCACGGTAACTTCAGACTTCAAATTCTTGAGTTGAAACAAAGTCTGCGGCGGCGTTGCCGGCCAACACCAACAAAGCTTGCACCCGAAAGGCGGAAGGACCCATCCACGATCGTGTGATTTTCGAAACTATGCTGAAGAATCAGGAAAGTGGTCTCATCTTGCTCATCGAAGCCGAAATAGCTTTACTATGATATCACCTCGTATATCATGAGATATCAAGCATCCGTAAGTTTCCCAATCTACAGTATGAGAATGCACTTAAAAAAGAGTTAGGGGATTTATTGAAGATCATTTCATAAGCAATTATCAGTTAGTCCTTTCTCCATTCCCTCTCATTTGGAAAGTTAAAATAACGAAGCATTTACAATCTGATTTTTCTTGGGAAGTGATCGACTCGTATATCCATTTCAGCCTATCGAATCCAACAGACTTAATAGGAACTCCCATTCTTTCCATGCATTATTGGTCTTAATTTGTATAAAAGGGTATCGAGTGCCATTTTAAAATTAAATTACTGATATCGCCAATCGCGATCTCCATCGTTGACCAGGTGCCCGGTCGAGATCCGGTCGCGTTTCTCTTCCGAATATCTCGTTCCCCATCTTCCAGGAATCTCGTCCTCATTCCTTAATGCCCGGCGAGCCTTCACCTGAAGACCGAGTTGATGCTGCTGAAGCGGTAGCCGTGTGAGTGCACCTAAGTTAACCCTTGTAGTTTTTCAGGGAGATTTCTTCCATGTATTTGCGTATAAATAATTACTTGCAGTTCTGGTACCGATTGACGCTGGAAGATTTGTTTAGCTCAAAAACAATTAATATATATAATGAAATTAGTGCAATTTCAATTCCCCATTCGATGGCATAAAACCTTCCACCTTTCAATAATTCTTTTTTAAAGCTATTTTCTTTTCTTTCTTTCAGGATGCTCGACGACGCTGAAGAGTCCAGGGACCCGGCGAGGCCGCGGTACCTTTGGGCTCTCGCGGCTTTCTTCTTCTTCCTTGTTCTGACTGCTCTTTTTTGCTCGCTTTCCTTTACATTATTTATGTTCTTTCTTGCCGTTGTCCTGACTGTTCTTTTGCTGCTGTGCATTTGAACGCTTAGGAAAAATTTTATTAAGCGAAGTGTATTTGCAGCGTTCATGAATGAAGTCGACTTAAACTATTATCTCCTGTTGGAAAATACTACGAATTGAAGGCGAATAAATATTCAAATTCTCACAACGAATTACTGTACCATCGTTTCGATCGCTGAATCATCTGTTCATTTAATCTGAATGTCTTATCTTCTAAGTCGCTTATTATTTTCCTTTAGAAATTCATATTTTGGCTTTTTGCTTTAGTACGATTACTGCATCAGAAAGGCGTTTCCGTGAGGATTAGATCCTTTTTCTGTTTTCTCATATAAGTATTTAAATTTGACGACACGGATATTTTGAGATTAAAGTACAGCTTATACGCGCAACTGCGGACTAGCTCTATACGCAAAACTCAATGGGTCAATAAATATTGCTGAAAATGCTGTGAAATTGGAAATATTTACGGGAGTTTTCAGTTTTCCCTCCCACAGCAAGCAATAAAGGCGAGATCCCGCAATATCAAGGGTGTCCATGCTTTGTCACTGGACATGAGATGAGCATGAAGGGTGCAAATGCCTCTTTTCAAGATGGCATCAGTTTTTCCCATAGGCAAATTACGCCCTTCGGCATCGCCCCATGCGAAATAAATATTCACTCGGTAATTCTATTAATTGCCATTCTCCATCCTCGCCTCCAAGGTTCCTTCCCCCCCCCCCCCCACCCTCAGAGTTCATTTTCACCTTTCAAGAGGGACGCATTCTTTCCCCTGTTAAGAACACATTTAGTACTAGGTCTTCCCTATTGATTGACTATCCGCTTCGATTGATGTGAAGCTGCTAAGTTCCCGATATAGATATGTATAGTGCTGGGGAAAAGTTATCTAACCACCTATTCTTATTACTCGACGAGACACGCGTGTTACGTTGAGGAATCCCTTTTGGTCGAATCCCCAAACGAGTCGATTCTCGATTCCGCTTGCCATTGCCATGAAGAATGCTTCATGGAAGTGTTGTTGAAAACAAGCAACCAGATGTCTCTGTAATATTTCGACCCTTTACCCTTCAGAGTGTCGCCTCTACTTAAACTCACTACTCTAGGTCTATGCCTATCATTCCTTATAGTATACTGACATCTTCATGTAGGGTCCCTATATCGACGTATTTCTTCTCTTATCATCTTCCACCGTGTACCCAGTACGCGCACTCGTGTGTGTGTGTGCTCTTGTGTCCTCACAAGAAGACAACCTCTGAGAGAATCATAGAGAGCATATAAATTGAGGGGCCACTCCTATGGCGCGTGGCGCAGCACCCTTCCTGGTGCGGCTGCCTTCTTACTGAAGTCGCACGAGCAAGGAGTTCATAGGAGACACATGGGAAAGGGGAGGGAGAAAGAGGCATCTTTGCCCCAGGTCCCCCATCCCCTTTGACCTACAGGCAGCAATGGTTTCTCCAGATACTATATACATTCTATGAAGAAAATGCGTACAGTACCTTATTAGCTTGTCTGTCGTGGACTTTGTCTTAAAGTCCAAATACCTCCTATTCCTTCCTTAAGGCCAATATTGCCAGACGTCTCCCTGGGCTGACTTTCATCTTTAGATGCTAATATTGTGGAATTCCAATGTATGACGCTCTACTGCAAGAAGAAAAAAGAATCAGCTACTCCAAGTAAGAAATCCCAGAGGGGTGGCTTAGTTTCTTTACAGGCGACCCTCTGGCTTGGCGACGGAGGTGCCATCTTGAATCGGTGATGGTAACCTTATCTGTACATGAATATCCAGATGCTTCGCCTAATGAAATATCCAGATGCTTCGCCTAATGAAATATCCAGATGCTTCGCCTAATGAAATCGAAAGGGCCAGTATGATGACATCCTCATCGGATTACCGAATAGGCAAACGATGCATGGGCCTCGGTCGAACCAAGCCATTGGATATGATGCAAAACGAGATAAGGAGACAAGATTTCATTTACGGTTACTCCTCTCCTTCGCAAGATTGGGCGAAAGGTGGTGCGTGCTCTGCCTCGGGGCTTTTGAAACCTTAATCCGACCCTGTTTTTGCAACTATGCCAGAGCACAGGGTATTCCCTCCGGCAGGGATGGGAATGAGCGAGATGGGTGGGCAAAGCCGGATGACGATGACTCAGACTCTCAGTTGAAAGGACGACGTCATACACCGACGGTGCTCACATGCAAGCACCTGATGGTACGGAGAGCGAGAGTGCTAGGCGAGGCTCCGAGGGAGAGGAAGAATGAGCCTCCATTTCTCGATCGTCGCACACCCTGCATTCACCCTTGTTATTTGCTTTGTAGTTCATTTGAGGGTTACATTTATGGTTACAACTTCTTCTGGAGATTTCGCAGTATAACGAAGCTAAATCTATACGGTAACATGCATGTGGCAGTAACAGTAACAGATATGAATTTTTTATTCATACCTATCTCGATTCCGATCTGACGGGATTGGTTGAGGACTCGCCATGGTCGAGAGAGGCGACTGCAGCGTTTTTTCCGCATCTAACGCAATAAATCGTGCCTTAAGGGTTGCATAATTATTCTCTAATTAATAAAGGTATGATCTTGGTCAGAAGGAAAGTCACGGTTTAGAGACAAAATCGAACCGCCTCCTCCTCGGAACCTCCACACTAAACCATGGGCCTCACGCTCCCGGCTCGCGGATTGCATTCGCGTGGACACGCCCCGCCGCGAGTTTGTAGACCCCTGAGCTAAACTGATACAATCTAAGAGCGTTAAAATCAGGTTGAGATTGTTTCCATTTCGCGACGTGCTCATTTCCGTGACGTGCGGCCGTCCACTCGGCCATGATCATCCTCACTTTTTTCCTCTTTATTTTCAGCGTCGTGGTGTTTTTTCTTTACCGGAGGAGGGTAGGGGCTTAAAAGAACTGAAACGGTGAAAGCTTCGTGCCAGAGGATCCGCTAAACAGGGAGCGACGAAAGTGCGTCAAGTTGATCGCCTCGAACTGAATAGTGCGACGAAAGTGCGACAAGTTGATCGCCCCAAACTGAACGGTGCGACTCGTAAAAATGGCACAGACGGAAAGACGTTTTATGCTCTTTATAATATTTGGCCACGTCGCCATGCCATACCTCGAAGGAAATGCAAATGATGTTCGTAATTCCGTATGGAATTCCGAATGATGTACGATGAAGTACTACGAAGTACGATGCAATACGGGTACGGGCAGGAATGTGCGGCATGTCCCCCGAGAGCCTGGATTCGAGTACTTGCGCTTCGCAGTTTCATTTGCCGGTGCCAATTCGCCAAAAAGTCAGCCTCGAAATCTGCTATCGGTCTTATACGTGTACGATAGCGAGTTTACTCGTGCGATTTTCTCGTTCGAGTTGCTTGCGCGAGAGGGCCAACCAGGGTTTTGTGCACCATCCCACTTGCGCAAAAGCGATCATATTTGGCGGAATTTTACGGATTTCGGTTGTCATTACCTACTGAAATTCCTCCTCTGTGAACACAGTACTGCACACAGTAATTCTTTGAAGGCATGACGGATGTTTAGAAATGTTACCGTCTTGGCTTTGTGCGGGCCACCATGATGGTGGCCCGCAAGGGATGCAATGGTTGCATCCCTTGAGCCCAATCGGATGAGGAAAGCCGAACGATCCCGAAGAAATCTTTCCTTGCTTCATCAGAGCTGCACGGTGCAGAAAAAATACGGCGCGGTCTCACGAGCGTGAATTTCACAAGAAACTGACGGTAATATTATAATTTTTATTTCAAATAAACTATCGGTACTATATATACGATATCGGTACTATAGCTTACTTATTGGGTCACGGAATATGGAAAGATTCATCGTGATCTTCAGAGAAAAGCACTGTCTTATGTAAATAGCCCAAAGGTCTTACTTGACCCGTGATTACCCTTGGCACCTGATCGCGTCAATGGAGCGTGGTGTCGACAGAGTCGGAGAAAAACAATTTAATAATATCCCAATGCAGCACTGAGCACGCCGATGTCACTCTTCAAAGCTCGTTTCACGTACCCTTCTAGGTGACACCTCAGTCACGCCGATGGAGCATGGTGCCCATTGAGCGAAAAAAAAATTATACGTGGGGTTGTATTTAGAACGAAGCCTACTACGTGGAAACGCAACCCTAGGCGTCTCCCCCTGGGAAAGGAACCAAAAAATTGAGGTTGACCACAGAAACATCGAGGGCGATCATCATGCTCATACGAATGGAGGAAGACAGGGAAAATGCAGCGAACGGCGCAGTCACAATTCGCGAAAATACCTTTTTTTAATGCGAGGTCCCATATATACCTTAATTTTTTTTTTCCATCTGCCAATGCAACTGCGATACAGAAAAACAATGGAACCTTTGAAGAGCTCTCGCGCTCGTCGGCTCCCTTGCGTCGCTCGCAAATATGAAATACTGCTATTCCAGAGATGGACCTCCACGAGGTGATGCACGTCTTTGCAGTGCCCGTGTGAAACCTGAGCGGCGACGAACTGACGAATCGCCCACGTATTTCCTCATGGACGTTTAAAATCCTTGGATTCCCGTCTGCAGGTGGGAGGCACTGCCGTGAGCGATGCCTCTCGGCTGCAGGTGGGAGGCAGACCCGTGAGCGATGCCAGCGCTTCCTATCGAGTACCAGCGCAACTCTCGTCTCCTTCTATATCCGAGAGATGGCGAGACGAGAGCGAATCTCGGAATTCTCCGTGAAAGTAGCCTCCCCTTCCTTTCGTGATGCCGATTTGCAAATTTCATCTCTCAAAGGCACATCCTCGAATGATAAGGTAGAGTCATGTCGAAACCCCCAATTTTGTATCTTGAAGCGTTTGGCCTGTAAAACTCTCTCGCATACCCACACCGTGTGTGGGTATGCATCAGTCTCTCGACATAGGTAGCGGCCAGGATCGCGCACGCTATATGTCTAACGTCCGGTTTGGATAAATTGGACAGTGCGTACTTTTTCATTCCTCTTGCTCTTGCCTGCCACAAGGCCTGAAACTCATTCAATATTTGAGCGTAATAGTCTCGTTCCGTTTTTTTTTAAATATTACCCTTCATAGACGTGAAATACCTTGAAAATCGAATGACACCTTGAAAATCGATTAACTATTCACCTACTCTCCTTCTGATTAACAGGAGCCAAAACGGATCGATGATGTCTTCGATAATTTCATCATGGATTAGGACCCACTGCAAATGAAGAAGGTGTATGGGAGAATCGAGATTTAACAGTTTGAGTGCCGCCGGACTGATTGGGCCGACTGCACCGACCAGAGAGGAGGACAAGGCCCAATGCCCCATTGGACGCAAGGAGGAAAGAGAGGGAGGAAGGGAGAAAGAAAGGGAGGAAGGAAGGGAGGAAGGAAGGGAGGGAAAGGCTCTGCCTGCGTCCTTCACCGGGGAGAAGACTTCTAACCGGTTTTTTTCTTCTTCCCCTCCTCAGACGACAGGCATCGGGTTTTTTTTTCTCCTTTTTCTCATCTCTCGAGGCGTCATAGGCGGCTTCATGGATGTCGGAAAGCGACATGGGATGAGGGACTTTTGTAGCTGTTTTCATCCCCAGACCCTGCCTTCGATACATGAAACAAGAAAATAAGTTCATTAGGGTCTGAATGGTCCTCGAAAAGTATTCAACTGATACCGTGATACGCGCGCGGAATTCCACAATCCCCAGTCATTTCTCGGGGGACATTCGGTAAATGTCCCTTGTGCATCGATCCGCTATAACGCTGGGCGATTCCACCATTAGGAACATCTCAACCGCACTCGTCATCCCCCTCGTCTCGTTCCGAGTAGAAGCGAAGGGGAAGGAACCCGGAAAACCTTCACCCATTGCTCTCTGACCTTCACCCATTGCTCTCTGACCTTCACGCTCGATTAGTGCCCCAGCGAGCTGCCGTACAGAAGGGGAACCGACGCCATTCACATGCATGCATACACAAGAGGGAAGGAAAATCCATTTAGACCTCGGAAGAGAAAGAGCGGCATGGCTTTACACCGGCCATAAACACACAAACACACGAGTGTACTCTTGACTGTAGGACTGCGCGCCGCACCGTTTCGATCTCGGCCGATTTCCACTGTCTTTCCTCAACCAGAAATTCCCGCCATCATCCTCCTTAATTGCTTCATTCGATTTACATGTTGTGGGACGTGAGGCCTACGAACAGGGCATGAGCCTGTTTCGCCATTTGGGGTCGCGACCGCACAGTTCCCAGAGATTGCGATGGCTTCAATCGGTCTAGTACTTTGATACCTGCCCTTGTACAACTGATTTTTTTTAAAATAATTTAAATGACGCTTCCCGTCCCTTGGCATCGGTCCAGCTGGACCTTCACCAAACAAATTCAGTTTTCTCGATTAAAACCAATTTCGGTCGCGGGGAAAGTAGGAACGTGAGCACAACGAGCGTGAAACTCTTCCACGACCTTGCGCCTAAACAAGTTTTATTTTGAGATGCTACTGGTAGTGTCACGAAATCAATTCCGGGCGAGAAACGGATGCTCTATTACGAAATGTCCACAACGCACCAAGATGAAAAATCACCAGCCATCTACATTACGTCAATGTTATCTTCTTCTCATTCAGTACTCTTAATCTCAGTGTTGAAAGTTTCTAATAGTTTGAGTAAATGGAAGTCGGAGAAACTCCAAGGCGAAACATCCAGGTTATGCAATAGAATTAATAATATGAAACCGGAATCACAGTGGATGCAACAGCCATCTTTGGATGCGTCCTTGGCGAATGAAACTGAAGCTGATTTTAATTTAAAGGACGAAGTCTTCCCTGTTGGAATGGATGAAACTAGTTTATTGAAGAAAAGTGAGAAACTCTCTGAAGTGCAGGGACTGGCAACATCAGAAGGAAACGAGTTCTATGTCTGGGCTTTAGAAAACAAACATAGAGTTGAGGATGAAATCCTGAAGAATGGCGACAATGAACTTCTTCCGGATGAAATTGCCAATGAATTGTACTGTCTAGATCTCGCGAAGGTACTCATCAATTCCTACTTTACAACCATTGTTATCTGGTCTTCCGTGCCACTGGGGTACTTATTATGGCACTTCAAAGCTTCTCAGCAATTCACCCAGTACGTATTACCCAAATGTGTAAGTCATATAGGGAGTACAACGAATTTTCCGAGAAGCACAAGTCATCAAGAAAGGATATTTAGAACCCTGAAGGAGAGTACCCTGCGTGCAGACAAGGAATGGAGATTAGATGAATTCGTTAAACTCTTGAAAGAAGACGTGGAATCATCACTCATCAGTGCTGCTAGGCAGTGCCTGCAGGAAGAAAAAGCGGGGAGAAGGATCCCGTGTGCCACCAAGAAAGTCATCGAGGAGGCTTGGGGAAAGGGTAAGAAGCACTGCGGGATAATTACAGTAGGTTAGTATCAAGTTCCTCCATAAAGAAAATGGCACCATTGACTCAGGCGGAGAAAGCCATGAGATGATTGGCTCGATCGAAACTGACTGGAAAAATCATCGGTGCTATGTAAGTCGATATTTTCGAGGGCGTCGAATACACAAGCCCCTAATAAGTTTTGTAGTTTAGGAAGAGCATGAAATACAGAAAGCTTGTTTCTGTCTTCATTCCTCCTTAAATTGAACCCGTCCTTAATCAGTGTCATGAAGACTCTGCGGAAATCCATGACGAGTTACCGGACCTGGCAATCCCCAAGGCGCCTATTGCAATTACAGTTGCAGCGTTCTTGGAACAGTCTTTTAGGAAAGAACAGCTCAGAATGATTCTATCCATGTCTAGAAACCCGTCATTAGTCACTCTGGGGATGTCCTGGTTATATGGGCATGCTTAAAAT